ACCCACTGGATGGCCTTGGGAAAGTCACACTCTCTCAGCCTCAGAGGACGACAATGGCAAACCCCCACTGAAGAAAAGTGCCAAGAAAACCCTCTGATAGACTCACCTTAGGGTCTCCATAATTCAAAAATGACTTGGAGGAACACAACAACAAATTTCCACTTAACATAAGGAGAGCATCTGTACATTTCGCTTTTAAGAGTTTTCATATGTAAGGATATTTGAATTATAATGGATGGGAGAGGTGATTTGTTCTCTCTCTGCAAGGACCTGCAAGTAGGTAAATTAATAACAACCTGACTGACAATGTTGAGTCCCTAAGGTTGTCACTAGTGGGGGGTGGACCATACCAGATGACAGACTACTCCCCAAATGTCTGACTTTTGGCAGAAATGGTCTTTGGTGTTCAGTTGCATCCCTTGAAAACCCTGGAATTCAGCAGAAGAGAAGGCCTGAGTAGGGCAAAGCTCAGTGGATAGAAAAAGCAGAGGCTTCAGAGTTTTGTTTATTTAAAAAAATGATTATTCTTTTAAATTTTTATTTAAAAATATCACATCTTACCAAATTTTCATTTTAAGCACATGAAACTATGTACTTTTAAATACATTTAGGTGGTGCATATGATATTTCTGATGTTCCATTTAAAGGTGTGCTTCTAATTTTGATAGTTATGTCACAACCATTGCCGTTGTTGTTGTTGTTGTTAACCACCCTCGAGTCGATCTTCACCATTGCCATTACATTCAGTGATACACGGGAATTACAATTTATGAGTAACGTTTGTACAGAAAACATGATTAAGGATTCTGTATGGTGTGGTGCAAGTGCCAATGTGATGAAGTGGTCATAGGACTGTGATCCTAGAGACCAGGGTTCACTGCTTGGCCATGGAAATCCACTGGGTGAGTCACATGCTCTCAGCCCCAGAAAATACTGTGATAGGGTCAACTTAGAGATTCCATGAGCCACATGCTCTCAGCCTCAGGGGAAGGCAATGGCAAACCTCCTCTGAACAAATCCTGCCAAGAAAATCCCATGATAGAGTTGCCATAAGTTGAGAAATGACTTGAAGGCACACAACAATAACAATAGTGTGGTACAGGAATTACAAAATGAGTTACTGCTGGATGACACCAACCTTGTAACACCACTATGTC